AAGAAGAAGAAGAAGAAGAAGAAGAAGAAGAAGAAGAAGAAGAAGAAGAAGAAGAAGAAGAAGAAGAAGAAGAAGAAGAAGAAGAAAAGCGTGATGGAGCACATCTGTAATCCAAGCACAGAGGGACAGAGACAGTGGTCCCCCTGGCTCGCTGGCTAACAGGTATGGCTAAAATAATAAGCTCTAGATTCAGTGAGCAGTCCTGTCTCAGCAAAATAAAATGAGGGCTGGAGAACCAGCTAAGCCATTAAGAGTACTGACTGCTCTAGCAAAGGACCCAGGTTGAGTCCCAGGGTGAGGTGGGACTCCTGCCATCCATGCTTACCTTATTCCTGGTAAAACTCCTCTGCCTGGTAATAGCCACCCATTTTTCCCAGCCCAGCTAGTCGTTTGCATAGTGTTCTCTCTCTCATCTTCTTCCTCTGCCTTTTGTCCCTTCTCTCTAAAGTTCTTATGCACAATTGTCCCATAGTATTTGTGCAGCCAAGGCCTAGCTACGACTGTCCTTGACACACAGTGAACCCTTGACAAATGTTTGCTAGGAAAAAAAAATGTCTGACAAACATATCTGGATTCTGGTAGGTAGAACAGATGCCCACAGACTGGCCAGTGTGGGAGAAGGCAGGGACAGAGGATGTGACAGGGCAGGACAGCAGGTAGGATGGAGTGGCCCGTGTTTTGCAATCATGCCTCGGGTTTGTGCCCAGTATGGCTGTTAGGTGGGCAAGTGACAGCTCCTCCCTGGTATAACTTGAGATGCCTCAGTGTCTTTGAAAGTTGAAGTAATGAAAACCACATGGGGATCTGAGGAGAGAGTCACATGCTTTGTTAGAATACTTAGAAGATACTTCCGTATAGTTCCATACTAAGTTCAGGGATAAGGAGCATCACCAACCTGCCCTCCAGGGAAGAATCCAAGCTGCAGAGGAAAGATGGACACATCACTGGAAAAAAAAGCAATTCTTCATTTTTATCCCCTTCCACTACATTTTATACTAACTCTAAATGTGAAAGGAATGGTTTTTCTTTGAAATTTCTGCTAATGATTCAAGTGCAGACATCAGTCATCTTTCTGTAACCTTGGGTACCCCAAATTGAGTAACTCATTTACTGTTCCCTAAAACAGATTCAAACACTCTGTCGGTTTTGTTGAGAACATACGGATACACAGGGTCCTGGAGCTCTGCACTTGGGTGCCTTGGGGACTTGGCCGACAAGGCCACTGCTCCACACGAGGCAGGAGCATTAGTGCTGCCCTGTGGCTTAGGGAATCATCGCCTTGCTGGCCAGAGCCCCTCAGATGGCAGTGCCCAGAGCAGCTTCCCATGACCTGGTGAGCTGCTTGTTTTCTGGATGTAAAGGCATGTGACCTAGAGCTGTGATTGTGCGTCATTTCTACCAGCCAGTGTTTAGTTTGAAGAAAGAACTGATTTCTCAGTGCCAGAAGCAAAACCTAAGAGGAACAGTTCCCTGCCAGAAGCTCTTCCTTGAAAGATGCACAACCCTGTTCCTGGCAAGAGAGCTCACAGCGCATCAGGAGCTGGGAAAGCAGATGAGCCTGGAGTTGTGGATTTACGTGTCTATCTTTTACCCTTTCCCCTCCTGTGTGTTTTTCTTTTGGGTTATACATCATGAAGACTACTTTAGAATCAAGCCAATATTTCTGTGGTAATGCTTCCTTAGCATTTCCCTTGGTGGTTCTCCATGTAGCTAAACCCTGAAAAAATAAATAATAAATAAATAAATACAATTTTATAGGCTAGTTCAACACTTGACAGAAGGGGCTGAGGGAAAGGATGTAAGGATTGCTACAAGTCCATGTACTTTACTGCTCACACACACAACTACTCTCGTTGGAATCTGCACGTTTACGTACTTAAGAAAACTGAGTTCTAGCCAGTGCGCGGCCATTTAGAAGTAGATAGTAGTTTTATAAGCCCTGCAGTATTTTTAACCAGTATTTTTAACTAATTCCTATGAAGACTTAGCTCATACATTGTCCAAAGGCCTTTTTAAATCAGTGCTGCTGATGTGAGACTTTACCCTGCCTATTGGTCCAGAACTGGAAATCATTCCTGTCACAGATTCTAAAGGTATCTGTGTCACGTCATAACAGATGCCTTTTACGCCCATAAAGCAAGCATACTTTGAGAGGCTGTGCCTATAGACATGGTGGTTTCTGCAGTGAACGAATGAGCAGAATCCATCCGTGGTCAGCTCTGGTGAGAAAGTATGGGCATAGCTAGAGATGTTACAATGTGAAGTTCATGTACGTGTGAACTTAGAGGTGCTTGAACCTAGAGTTCTGATCTCAGCAACTCACCCCCTGACCCATCTGGAGTAAACAGATCTGGAGTCGAGGACTGACCTCCGGGTAGCACTGTCTGAGAAGACACACTGTAGTTTGCACCTTGCAGTGGAAGTGGCTTCCAAGTCCAAAGCGAGGCGCAGAACTTTTTCCCACAGGGTGCCCGTGGCTGGAGAACAGAAGCCCGAGGCCAGCTGCTGTCAGGGCTTAAGGGAAGAATTCACAGGGTGTGTGTCCTTGGGAAACAATACTGCGTTCCCAGAGTGCACTTGTTTTGGGAAGGCTCTTGGCAAGATCACACGTCCACGGGTGCCTGCAACTCAAGGCCTGCTCCTAGCCTCGAGGGAAGTAAGCACTATTTTAGCCAGCGCTTCTGGCATCATCTGTCTCTGCTCATTTAAGTAACTAAACCTTCAAGGAGCAAAGCATGTTTGTAACAGTTGCTAGAAAAGGTAAAGTTTGAAGGGCGTGAATTTCTGGGTGTGCACTTGGTATCTGGAGCACAGGCTTTCACTGGGCTATTCTGAGATGTGCTAGTTCACGCCACTGAACATGGAATCATGGAATGGTACAAGGCAGCCGTTTATCACCCGAGCAGTTGTCTCCCAGTGCAGGCCGCCCGCCCCCCTTTTTAATGGAAGCTGAACCCGTCATAGCCAAATGGCACCCTTGAAATTAAAGTCATATAAAAGGCTCAGTAGCTTAGAGTTACTCAACGCAGGTATGTGAAAGAGTTCCGCACACGCCCTGGTCTGCGTGAGAAACTGTATCTGAAAAGTTGATCAGAGAAACAAACCAAGGGATTGCTGTGCAGCAGTGAAATGACCACCGCACGCAGAGACAGAAAGTGTGAGCCGAGCACACTGAGCCCTTGGTTGTGACCAGCATCCCTGGGAGGCCAGTCCATGGTTGCTCCCTGGTGCTCTGTGCCCGGTGCTCTGTGCTCCTCTGTCCTCAGTGCGACAACCTTGTCATGGGGCTGTGTCAAAAGACCTGGCAACGGCAGCACAAGGGAGGAATGGCTAGTTGTGCCTTACAGTTTAACACACTCTAGTCAGCAAAGGTGGAACACAGAAGGGGCAGGAGCATGAGGTAGCTGGTCACAGTGCATTTCTAGTCAGAAAGCATGCTGGGAGTGATGCATGTTGGGAGTGGTACAGGCCGGGAGTGACACGTGTTGGGAGTGATGCATACTGGGAGTGATACAGGCCGGTGCTCAGTGTACTTTCTCTGTGCAGTCTGGGACCCCAGCCCATTGACTGCCACCCACATTCATGGCGTCTTCCCACTCCAGTGAACACGATCTAGACAATCCTCCACAGATTTACCAGAGGCTTGTATGTCCCTTTGATGGTCATAGATCCTGTCAAGTTCATAATGTACAATTACACACTCCTCTGGCTCCATGAGCCTGGACACTGTGTCCTGGTCATCTCTATCTACAGAGGCACTGTGAACATCCGTGAGTAAACAAAGGCAGCATTTGACCCCAGGGTCAGAAGTCGTCTGTTAAGCTGAAGGCAGTGGAAAAGAGCAGAGCTAAGTCTCTGGGGCAGGAGAGGGGTCGATACCCTTTTTAGGGTATGGATGATCAGTTGGCGGTAAGAGGGCCCAGTGGTTTTTGGTCCCACATTCTCGCCCAGTAGATGGTGCAGTTCCAGAAGGCACAGCAGGAGGGAGCTGGCAGCCCCAGCTGGACGTCTGGAGATTGGTTCTCTGATCTCTCCTGCTGTCTAACTAGGTATTACACACCAGTCCATTGCTAGACTCTCGCTGGTTGTGCTGCCTCTGCAGAAACTGCATGTACTGTAGTCCCTGATTTAGATTTTGTTTAATTAACACTTATTTAGCAGTCACTGATCATCGTTGAATATGACTTAGTTTGTGCTCTGAGGGAGTGTCATGGTCTGTCAAGGGAGCTAGACAAAGGGCACGGATGTGGTTAATAGTGGTAGCAGTTCCCACTAGGTTCCAGAGAGTACAAAACTGTGATGCTGAGCGGGGCACTTCTAAAACTTTGAGGTGGTGGTGAGGTGAGGTCTACCTGGGGTCTTGAAGGATGAATAGGAGTCTGGCTAAATGTGCCCTGGTGGTATATCTACAGAACAGAAATTGTATGAAGTAATGTCTACCAAAAAAAAAAAAAAAAAAAAAAAAAAAAATGAATAAATAGCAGTAGAACAGATGTCCAACATTTATCTCCCTGTTCATTATTTGTACTTTAAATTATTTTGAGTATATATATTTTCTTAATCTATATTGATCAAATAGTGACAAGAATAGGAGCAAACAATAGGGACTGCATGGTTATGAATTCCTTATGTATTCCCAACTAGAGCTGACATGGTCAACTATAAAGTCTGTGTGAACACTAAGCTTTAGCATTTCTACTGAGTGTTACTCTTTTGTCCATTTTAATGAGTTAACCAGATCAGAAACCAGGTTACAGTAAATAGTCTTTAGAAAATTAGTTTGAAAGCTATTTGTATTAAAGGATTAGGCCTTGTGTATCAGGTTGGGTTTCTCTAGATACAGGCTGTAAGAGATAGACTGGAGTACAGGAAGTTATTTGGGGAGATGACTTTAGCCTCAGGTAGAGACTAAAACAGCTGAGACCAGGCAAGAGAGGCAGCCAAGGCTAGACCTGTTTTAAAATGAGCAGATGCATGCTAAGGCAGCAGGGATGATCCAGGCACATGAGGAGAGTACATAGCTAGAGCACACCCAGCAGCACTGAGTGGAGAATCGGGGCTCTTGCTGTCCCAGGGTCCTTTGTTCTGACGCAGTCGTAAGCAGAGGCAGTAGCAGGATAAAAAATAGACAGTGGGGAAGTAAAACCTCCTGTCAGCCAGGGCCTTGCTTCTCTTTTTCCTGTCCATTGGTTTCTCCTGAGAATCCGTAGGACCTTGGGGTCTTGGTGAGGCCAGTGTTACCGTCATAGGATAATTCAAAGCCCTGTAAAGCTGGTACAAAAGTACCTTTGTGTACCTTGAAATTGCCAGGTGCCAACAGGCTTGAGTGTGCATCAGATTTTGCCTGTGCGTGGAGGATGGTGCTGCAAGGCTGTCAGCCCTTGACAGAAAGCACCAGATAGAACCTCTCATTAAGATTAAAGCTGCCTTGGATTAATTTTTGTGTCACCGCTGTTGATGAAAACGCCGTAACGCAAGGCTGCTGCCCCCAAACCTTGTGGAATGCAGGTGGACGCTTTTAACACTCCCCTCTTGTTTCTTCAGGTATCTAATATCCAGGCAAGAGCAGTTGTGCTGTCTTGGGCACCCCCTGTCGGACTGTCTTGTGGACCCCATGGTGGTCTCTCCTTCCCTTACAGCTACGAGGTCGCTTTGTCCGACAAAGGGCGAGATGGGAAGTACAAGATCATTTACAGGTAGTGTGTGTTTCCACTTGGTTTTCTTTGCTACTAAACTGCATCGAAGAGAAAAAAAATGCAAAATTCATACTGCACAAATTTTCTTTTAAATATTAGTGATCACGGGGCTGAGGAGCTAGCTCAGTGTAGAGAACTTGCCTAACACGTGTGACACTATGGATTGAATTCTCAGTAGTGTGTGTAGGGGGTGTTAGTATTTATAATGTCAGGAATTAATTAATTTTGCCCAAGTAATTATTAATCAGAAATTAGTAATATAGGGCTATATGGTGAAATGAACCTCTTGATTATATGCTAGTTGTCAATATAGTTTTAATAAGAAATTTCTGCCAAGATTTTTCAGGATGAAAAGTGACTAAATGTTTCATATATTAAGTGGCTACAAAGTTAATTATGTTAGAGCCAATCCTTTTCCTGGACCTGTTTTTTGAAAGCTACAATATTTTTTGTTTCTATCTCACCCTACCTTTTACCCTCCATCCCCCACTAAAGATTACTTTAAAGCATTTCCTTATGAAGCTTTATTAAATGGTTCTGAGTCCAGTGCCCAGAGGAATAGATTAAGCCTTTCTGTTTTATGGATTCCCACATAACAGCTGGCCTGGTAATTTATACCTGTTTTCTACATGTGATTTAAAAAAAAAAAAAACATTAGGGTCAAGCCCATTCTCCTTTGTAGAGCCCACGTTTACATAGCGAGAAATCTAAAAATCAGGTTCATTTGACTACTTGGACCTCCCTGTGAGAGGCCTTGATGGGCCCCACTCGTGCCTTAGCCTGAAGCTTTTGTTTCTCTTCTGTTCTCATCTCACCCATGCCACACACTGTTGCCTACTTCCTGTTCCGCTTTCATGGTATGCTGCCCCAGTGAGTGGATTTGTGGACCAGTAAAGAGGAAAAGCTAAGAAAAGAACCACTCCAGTGGCAGTCTTTTTCTTACCCCCCAACTCTGCTCTGTTGTCTCTTCCCCAGTTCCCACTGTGCCCTCCCTCCTCCCCCTGCCCCAGCTCTCACATGGCCCACCAAACTCCTCCACTGCAGTCACACCATAGGCCTGCTCATCATCACTCCTTTGCAAAAGATTGCCTTCTGTGCTTGCAATAAAGCCTCAACGTGGTGCTCTGGCTCTTAATCATTTTACTCTATTTTGAAAATGAAATTAGAGACAGACTGGGAAAATACTCAGTTTCCAAGCCTTCACTCATAAATAAACAGGCGGGGGTGTGGCTTTGTTGCCAGGCTGGTCGGGAATTCATGTGATCCTCCCTTGACCCCAGTACAGGTGTGCTCCACTACAGGAAGGGGCTAGGTCGGCAACACCATGCAGTCTGCTGCTTCCAGTTGGAAGCCTGACCCTGCTGGAAGGGAGCACTGCCCCTCAACTTTAGCTGGCAGGATTTGTTGATTCTCCAACAAATGCTCTCAATGACTATGCTGTTTTTCTGTCAGCCTAGTTTAGCAGATAACAAAATACTTTCAGTTGCAATGCAGATCAAGGTTAGGTGTGGACATAGCTTCTGGTTTGAAACTTCAAATGACAACTTCATTTGGGAGAAGTTCAAACGTACCAAGCATTGGGTATAGCGATGAATGTGTGCAGGTGCCATCTGCACAAGCTTTTCTGTCACTGACCTTTTACCCTGTTGCCTTGCTATGTGTGTCTTCTCTTCAATGTGTATTTCTTTTCATTAGTTTCAGACTGTACAGTCCTTTACCACTAAGTTTTCTGACCACAGGATGTTTTTGTAGATAGCCACATTGTAATGATCAGCGTTATAAACCTGTTGCCACAGAACTTTGGTGTAAGCCAGGGTCCTGCGTCTAGTTTCCCAGCTGACATGACTCTCTTATTTTGAAAACTGTGGTAGTGTTTTAATCCCCTCAGTATAGGGTCCCATAATACACTTGGTTTGTCTTTAAGGTGTCATTGGATAATTTTGAAGAATGAGAAATAAGTTATGGATACACAGATATCCTTCATCTTTAAACAAAATTAAGTCAGGGTCTTTCCTGTCTTTGAACTTACGATAATCCTACCTCAGCATCCTGAGCTCTGGATTCCAGGTGTGTGCTTCCACCTCTGGCCCTTTTGTCATGATTAAACAGAGCATATCTTATTTTGTATGGGTTGTTTCTTTGTCACTCCCTCTGGCTCATGGGAGTGGTTTTAGTTTATGTCAGAAATCCACTTCTTGGGGGCCTGGGGTGGACTGCAAGTTCATTAGGGGAGTCCTGTGCTGAGGGCACTGGGGTTCCTGCCAGGGTAAGACTGAGAGCCACCTCTGTCACACAGATGCCCTCTACCTACAGGTCTACCTGTTTGCGTATGGATTTGCTTTTATATCTCAATTTAGGAAGTCATAAGACAGTTTAGATTTGTAAAAATTTAATTAACTCAGTTGTTTCTTAGGTATGAGTGGTGTCTTTCAAAGGAATCTGATTTTCAGTTTTGGTGAATGCAGAAGATAGTATTTGAGCTATCGTTGGCGAGTGACTGTGAAACCCAGGCCTAAAGCTGCATCGCTGCTGAGACCAGTGTTAAACGAACAAACACTTTGTCTTTGCAGTGGAGAAGAATTGGAGTGTAACCTGAAAGACCTCAGGCCCGCCACTGACTACCACGTGAGGTGAGTTAGAACACAGCCGTGCAAGTAGCTGCAAAGTCCAGGTCGACACTGTGCGTGCATGGCTCCTTTTGGAAGCTGGTGTTGAATAGCGCTTCCCTCTTGGAAGGGGTGGCTTCAGAGCCATGGCCATTCATCCACATTCTGTACACAGAGCACAGCAATTTTAAGGACCCAGAGCTGCTTCTTGGGCCAAAAAGAAGGTATCGTGCTAGCATTATTATTTGAAAGCACTGTTTTTTAGGGCTGGGGAGACTGCTCCGTCAGTACAGGGACAAGAGGGTTTGAGTTCAGTCTCCTGCAGCAGTGTCCAGTCTTGGCGAAGGTGCCTGTAATCCCAGTGCTGGAGAGGCAGGGCCAGGAGGGATCCCTGAGGCTTGCTGGGCAGTCTAGACGGCAGTGTAAATCAGGCTCAGGGGGCATGCTCCAGGTTCAATGCACTGCCTTTTCTCAAGGAGGCAGGTGGAGGCTGATTAAGAAGGCAACCAACACCCATCTCCAGGGAGCCCACACAAACACACACACACACACACCTCCTGAGACACCCCCCCCATACTCCCACATACCAGTAATAATAATTTTCTAAGGACTTCTGAGATCTATTGGATGGTGTGGCTAAGCATACAATATTTTCTTTGTGTTTGTGTGTGTGTGTGTTTGTGTACATACATACATATCCATCAAGTATGTGTGTATTTGTGTGTGTGTGTGTGTGTTTTACCATAGTCATCAGTTGCTCATCATTAACATAACCTCTGTGTTCAGACCCAAGCAGGCCTTCCATATTAGAACAGTTTTAGGTCTAAAAAGCCAGGAGAATTTTGAAGTAGTTAAATAATGCAGATGCTAAACTATCTCTGAGGTGAATAAACCCACTTTGACTAAGCAGAAGCCTTTGCAGAGTGCCCGGTAGTTGGAACTCCTCTGTGGTTGCTCTGAGACCCACGCTGTGACCCCAGCAGGCAGGCCTAGCTGGCTTAGGGGAAGCCAGGCCACCCTGTCAGAGCACACTTGTGATCCCAATTGCTGTGGAGCCCGTCTCAGTGTTTAATGGTACATCCATCCATCCCAGCTACGCCGACTTCTCTTTGTGGTTTATTTTACCTAGTTGTCAAGTTCAGCAGAAAATGTGATGCCTGGGTGTTTGTGTTTTCAGCCGTGTTTTAAAGTTGGAGCCTGTCATACGGCTATAGCCTTTGCAGAGGTTAATCCCAACCACAGAAACTCTCATGGTGGGCTGGAGGCAGAGTAGCCTGGTAGGAGGCTGGAGTTCTACTTTAGTCCTGCCATAAATGGCCTGTTTTCACGTCAACATCAGTAAAAGTCCTGAGACACAGTTTTCCCTTTAACAGGAGCAATGTGAATGGGATAGCTCAGGGGTGAGCACTGGCTGCCAAACTGGACAACCCGAATTCAGTCCTGCAAGCTGGAAGGAGACACCTGACTCCCGTGAGGTGTCCTCTGACTCCCGTGCGTGCACATGCGTGCACACACGAGATTAATTGATTAGTTAATTAAATGTGAAAATAGAGAGGAAGTGGAGAAGCCTGGTGCTACCCACATTGCAGTCCCAGCGCTTGAGACGTATAGGCAGAAGAGAGACAGGAGTTCAAGGTCATCCTGGGCCACATAGGGAGTTGGAGGCCCGCCTGGCAAACATGATACCCTATTTCCAAAGGGAAAAGGAGGAAAAGATAGGAACTGAGGTTGCAGCATGCTCATCAGTGGTACCTGTGCTCTGAACTTGGTTATTTTGTGTCATCATAGTGGACATCTGTCTGGCAGTTGTATGGTGCAGCTTCATTTACTGCAATGAGCCGCTGCTGTGGTTCGGAACCTTCTGGTTCCAAGTCCTTCAGCTACATCACCCAAGTGCATGTAATTTGTAAAGCTAAGATGATAACAGAAACTGTTTAACCACTCTTCTCGAATGGTCAGTTGAACAAACCAAAAAGTTAACCCCCAAAAGCAGCCGTGGAAATGCAGCCCATTTCTTGGTTAGCACACACTTCCTTTGCGCCATGTTGCAATGGTTTATTGTCAGTGCTTTACTAAAGGGATATTTTGTTAATTTCCTGTTCCTTCGGTCTTAAAATATTCTTCTCAAGAAACTTGAATGTCGTGATGAATCTGCCCTTTCTCTTACCATCTTGTCTCTTGATTCTCTCAGTACAGAGGAAACTTGGAGAACATTTGATTGCTGGATCTTTTTATAATAGAATTTTTTTGAAATTAAAATCAGATCTTTTCCTCTTTTTCTTTCTACCTTCCAGTCTCTTCTCTATACCTTTCTTAACTTTCTCAAATTCATGGCCTCCTTTTCTTTTAATTGTTGATATATATATTCTAAATATGTAAATACAACCTGCTTAGTCCATAGAATGTTCCTTGTATGTGTGTTTTCAGAGCTGACTGCTTGGTCTTGGATAACCAAGTGAGAGGCTCTTCCGAGGGCAAGGCTGTTTTTCCAGCTCTCAGGATTCCTTAGTTGCCTGTAGGTCTTTGTCTAGGGTTAATGTGGCTTGAGATTTCCACATCACCATGTCTATTGGTGATATCCTTGTCCAGGTCTTGTTTAGGTAGCTACATTATGTGCATGGGTGTGGTTTCCCGGATATTTCTAGGGCACAGTCTCATGGGACGCTTACTGTCCCTTTGGCTCTTATAGTCTACCCTGCACTTCCAGACTGACCCCTGCCCTCAGGTTCAGGACTCCTGTTGTAGATGTATCAGTTGGGCCTGGGCATCACATGATCCCTTGTTCCCAGCATTTTGATCAGTTGTGGTTTTCTGTAATGCTCTGTAATGATTCAGAGAACTTGCAAAGTTCCAAGAATATAAGAGTTAATCACAAACTCAGTAGTCACCAGTTAGGCCGCAGTGGGCTGTGTGCAAATACCATTTGCTGTGGAAGTCATCATCTGGCAGCCATAAAAGGAGCAGCTAAGCCCATCACCCCTTTCTTAAGAATTTAGAAATGTTACCCTGCCTCAAGCCCACAAAGCCAAATAAGACAACCTGGATATTTCTTTTAAGAACACAAAATAGGCTGTATTTTTTTTTCTATTATTTTTTGTTTGTTTCTTTTCTTTCTTTCCTTTTTTTTTTTTTTTTTTTTTTTTGAGAAAGGGCCTCAGTAGCCAAGGATGACCTTGAACTTTTGCTTTTCCAACCTCTACCTCCCAAGTGATGGGATTACAGGTGTGTGTCACCATCCTGGCTTATGCAGTGCTGAGCAAGCACTCGACCAACTGAACTATACTATACACAGCCCCCTCCAAATTCTCAATATTATGCATTTTGATTGAGACCTACAGAAATCTTGGCACATAAATACTTCATTCTTAAATTGTATACTAAAGTACCATGTAGGCTTTCTAGTTACTTTGTTTTTAATTACTGAATTTCCTATACTTAATTTGCAGAATAGGGGGCTTCGTTGCGATATTTTCATTCATCGATGCTTTGTTCATATTCAGCCCTGTTACTTCTCAGTGTTTCTCTGCCTCGGATTACCTTTGATTTTTCTGCTCGGGTTTTATCCTAGCCACAGATTGTCTGATATCTTTGCATGATGCCTCACCTCTCAGCCTCCTCCCCCATTGTGTTGGTACTCTGTGAGGCAACCAGCCTGTTTTCATAAAGTAGCAAGCTCCCTAGCAAAAACTGCCTGCTGCTTGGTCTTGTTTGCCTGGCAGGAATAGCTCTTGCCTTCTTTGTTCTTACCTCAGATCAGTCGGGTTTGCTGAGATCAGGGTGTCCTATAGGCAGAGCTATTGATCATGTCCCTGTAGCTATTTTATTAGTATCTGCCATCTGAACCACTCGGCATGTGGAAAATGTTGTCCAAAGTCATTTCAAATTTAAAAAATATTTCTTCCTCGTTTTTTTTTTTTTATAAACACATATGTGGTATTTCTATTCCACCATGTTCTTGTTGTTGTTGCTATGTGGTTGAAGCAAAAAGGCCTCTGCATATATTGTGTGCATTGATTTGTAAAATTTAGGTCTTTTCTTAGATTTTTAATTAACTGATATAATGTTTAAAAAGGAATAAATTTATAATTATCGAAGGATAATCAGTGCTTTCACTAGGGATATAATGTTATGGGTTGTATAAACCCATTAAAATGAAATCTAGTGTATTATTGAGGGAAGCTGAAGAGAAGGGGAAACAAAGACATTGAGATTATATGTTGGAGTTGGAGAAAAAAACTCTGAGATTACTCAGTCAACAAGGGCCTCCATGTGATCCCCAGATCACACATTAAAAAACCAGCAACCGTAGCACGCGCTTTCGATCCCAGTGCTGAGAAGGCTCTGACAGAAGATCCCAGGGTGTCATTGCCAGCCAGCCTAACCTAATGGGTGAACTCAGGCCAGTGGGGCGGGGGTGGGGGGAGGGCTCTGTCTCTAAGATCAGGGAGCTAGCATCCCAGAGGAAGACACCAAAGCTTCTGCTGCCCTCTATACACGTGTACACCTGCACACACAGATACATCGCTCACCCACACAAACTGTTTTAAAGAAAAGACGCAAGTCACAATAACACCTCTTTAAATACTATGCTTAAATACACACACACACACACACATAAATATTTATATATCTACAAGTGTTTTTTCTAGGCATTTTTCAGAGAAGTTATGTTCCTCCTTTAGTTGGCAGTTTCACAAAGTAAACAATGGTATTAAGATGATTCTCACTTTGGGAATCCAGGACTTCGACATTAGAGACTGACTCTTGAGAGGCCTGTGCCTACTGTAGGGCAGGGACTGCTGTCATCACTGTCCTTCCCCCCCTTCTTAATTCCTGTGCTTCAATGTATATTAAAGCCTTTTAAAAATAAATTTGAACTTTGCTTAGAAAACATAGGAACTACTATTTCTCTCAGTAATATTTCTGTCGGGGATTTAAGTGATGGAACGGACAGCAAGCCCAAGTCAAACTTAGCAGCACTTTTCCAGTCACCAGCATAAGCAGTTCGTCCAAGAAGCTGCCTAGAGTGACATCATGGAATGACATTTTCCAGAAAATTCATGTACTGAACCATTTTCAAAAGTCTAGTTGACCAGCCCAGAGCACCGTTATGAAACAGCTGTTGCTTACTGGAGACTGTGCCCCCTGGGATGTCCCAGACGTGTGGGAAGGAGCTGCAAGCCTGGTGATGAAATTCTTGGAGCACCTGCGTCCTTAGTGTCTGGCTTGTATTGACATAGAAACCAATATGGAACCCCAACACAAAATTAATTATGCAGGACAATATTCCGTTTTGAGGGGATAACTCCAAAAGAAAATCCAGCAGCTTTATTTAACCCAAGAAAATGGTCCTATGCTATAGATCTTCTGTTACAGGACATTAGGGAAAACTCATCACTCTCATGTGGAAAACTGGATTCCTAAATTGATTTATTAATTTGAGGAAGGTTATATTGGAGATCAGAGGACAACCAGCAGGAGTGAGTTCCCTCCACCATGTGAGTTCCAGGAATCAAACTCAGGCCATCAGCCTTGGTGGCATCTTGCTGTTTTCTGTAGACTATGTAACATACAAACTATTTTCAAAGATTCACGTTTTTTTTGTAGACATAAGACATGAATAAGAATGTAGCTAGCTACTGTTACAGTTACAATTAGTTACTATTTATTTGCTGAACAGTTTTCACTAATAAGAAGTAATCCTATGTGATTGGATAATATAGCAAATTTTAGTGTCTATAGCACATTTATGGTATCCTTAACATTAACCTAGTTTTCCTTGCTGATCAAGTTGGTGGAGAGGAGTTTGCTGGAGATTAAAGCCATGTATGCTTCATGTATGCTGAGTACATGCTCTATCATCAAATGTAACAGTCTTCACAGTTAAAGACTAAAGACAAGCAAAAGGACTGCATGTGGACTGTCGGACATTTATCCCTGCCTTCGGCTTCTTCTGCCAAACTGTGCTATCAAAGATTCTGAAGTCAAATTTAGATATTATCTACTTTCATTTTTAAATAACATTTCCATCATTCCATGCTCCTTAAGACACAATGGTAATTCTTAATGACTTCAAAACTTGGAGACTATTCTCTTTTTCTCAGTTGTCCTAAAAATAAAGGGTTTTTTTCCCCCCTTTCACTTCGTTGTTATAGAAATTCAAATGTAACCTGACTATGCAATTTGGTTAGAGTCTCTTAAGTTTCTTGGACTCCACAGCTTTTCCTTTAGCTCTTCGTGTTTTTATTGGGGTCATTTTCAGTCCTATAGAGTGTTCCATACTTGTCCGTTTAGCTGATGGCACCTTCTTGGTCACTTCATATGCTTCCCTGTTCTCTGCAATGACATATAATCAGAGCTAATCATAGATTCATAGATAATGGCATGGTCTTTTTTTGTTGATTTTTGTTTATGTATCCTACTACATTGTTTAGGCTGGCCTAGACTCATTTTGTAATTCTTAGTTAAGCCTTCTATTGATGTGATAAAACATGACCAAAAGCAACTTAGAAAGGAAAGAGTTTATTTCAGTTCATACTTCTTTTTTTCTGGTGATGGTAGGTGGTGGCAGCCAAGATAGGGTTTCTCTGTGTAGCCCCAGCTATCCTAGAACTTGGCCTTGAACTAACAACATCTGCCTACCTTCATCTCCCGAGTGCTGGGATTAAAGATGTGCACCACCACACCTCGCTCAAACTTACAAGTTTCGGGTCGTTCGGTCACTGAGGGAAGACAAGGCAGGAACTCAGGACAAAAGCAGAGTCCGTGGACAAAAGGCTACTTATGGTTTGTACCTCCTGGCTTGCTCAGCACCTTTTCTTATACCATCTAGAGAACCACCTAGGAGGAATGGCACTGCCCATAGTGAGCCTTTATTATTAATTAATGGAATTCTTTCACAGTAACCATCAGTCAAGCACAAGCCTCAGAGGCTTGTCTGCAGGTCAGGCTGATCGTCTCTATGAGGTTCCCTCTTCTCAAATGACTCCAGTTTGTATAAAATTGACAAAAAAGTGACTAGGACAGTAGCCCAAGGCAGCTTCAAACTCAGTGATCCTGCTTCAGCCTCCTTCATGCTGGACTCATAGACGTGGACTGAGTGCTCAGATGCTGTGACCACTGGGAATGCCCAGCATCTGATTGGCTCTCTTTGTGATGATCACAGTCTAAGTCCTAAAATGTTTAGGTGGCTCTGATATTTAAAGACACCAGGTCCACTTCTCCAACACACGTGTATCCTGGTCTAGGTGCAACCCATAAGACCTCAGTTGGAGAATTCTGATATAATAAAGTTTAACCTTGAGCCTGACCACGTCTGGCACAATGTATGATTCACATACACACACATAGACGTGTTCTTGCCAGATCACTGCCGTTTGGTCTTGTGTCATCACGTCCCTCCTCACACTGTGTCCACAGAGGAGCCTTTTCTCAGTTGGGCTGGGTAGAGAGCTTCCTCACAATCACTATCATTTGTCTGCCTCACATGCTATCATCTCCTCACGTAAGGCAAAGAACAGAAATATAAGATGGCTTCTTGGATTGCCTTGAAGGATAGAGTCTGCATTTGTGCTTAACACTTTTGATTTACATACCCTGAAATCAGGCACATATGTTGAAGGCTGAGCCAAGTGCTTCAGAGTGCAGAGAGAAAATCATCAATCTTGGTGCTGTGTGTCGGCATTAAGTATTCATGTCGATGGACTGCCGGAAAGCTGTCTTTGTTGAATTGGAGAGAGATGTGGTTGGCAGTAGCCGGCAGCTTTCTAGGGTAAAGCATCCATATTTTTAGCTCAGCATACACCGTGCTCTGAGTAGTTCTGCGGTGCCCATCTACCCTGTTGTCTTTTGCACACTCTCTGCAGCCTATGAACCCTGATCACTGCATCACGCCCCTTTTCACTAGTTCCTAATTGGTGTGCTTTTCGCCTTTTTCTAGATAGCCAAGTCAAGCCTATTGGTTTTTAGAATGTATATATGAAAGCCATCCTGGGAGCCAACTTTCCTGTGTCGAATGTTCTCCTCCAGTCAGTAGACTTACTTCTCACTGCGGTGGGGCTGGGTGGGACCTCACTGACCAGATTGTCCCTGCAGTTGCTGACTAGGGCTAGCTCAGGGCTGGGCCACAGTGTCCTACTGGGAAAGGAGTTCTGCTCGGCTTCAAAGCCCAGGGAAGAAGCAGGCATGAGAAGCTTGGTCTTGGGTCCCAGCCACTGATGCCCCCTCCATCTGTCTGCTTCCTCTGCAGGGTGTATGCCATGTACAACTCCGTCAAGGGCTCCTGCTCCGAGCCAGTCAGCTTCACCACCCACAGCTGCGCACCGGAATGCCCCTTCCCTCCCAAGCTGGCACACAGGAGCAAAAGTTCTCTGACCCTGCAATGGAAGGTGGGTAGCTCACAGTACCGAGAAGATGCTCATGTTTGTGTCAGGGCAGTCAGTGGCTATTCCGAATGTCCTGTTGTGCAGTGGGCCCTGGTTTCCTGTGTGAGCCTATGTGGACCCAGTTACGATGTATCAGAAGTTGCCATTCCCATGAAAGTAAAGCAGAGGAGGTTGGGGGAAGGGCCTGCACGATCAGTGTGAACACCTTCTCAGGAGCTTGGTAAATCTCCCAGTGCATCGTAAGTGATCTAAATACCTAAAATCCCTGTCTCTTTCTATTAGTTTGGTTCGTTTTTGCAAACATTTGTAAACTTCAGCACGAAGTTTGAAGCTTTAGATAGAGTAGGTTTGAGTTCTTTTGGCTTCTTCCTACGTAAAGCTGAAATACCTGATAGTTAAAAGCTTCACAAAATAGATTGTGTTCTATATTCTAGTAAGACTTCATTAATTTTCACTAATTAGTCATAGCTCAATCAGGGTTCCTATTTTTAACACCCTGAACTCCATGTAGTAATTTTCATATAATGCAGTATACCGTCTAAAAATAACCATTGCCTAGCAAGCGATCCTAGGGTGTGCCTTCTTTAAAGTGTGCCATTAACCTGTTACTCACGGTTTCGTGTTTTCAAGAAAATGGATCACTATCACCCTTTAAATCATTATTTCCGTGTCTTGCTATCTTAGAATGTAGTGAGAAAATATCAAATAGTTGATAGAGGCATATGGGTCCATAGTGTGGAGGGGTGAGAGGGCTTGGGAGAGGACAGCGAGTGACAATATAAATGTAGCCAGGTCTCTCTGCATCCTGGTATATGTAGCCATGTGCTCATAGTCAGCGGCTGGCATTGACTGCATTATTGGGACAAAGGCAAAGTTTCAACTGGCTTAGAATCTGAACGTTTTTATTTTCCTTCCTGGCTTCCAGGGATAATACAGGTCAGTGATTTCCCACCTTTTCAGAGTTTTAGCACCCAACTGGTCATCATCATTGGTTAATTCCTTGGCAAATATATATCTATTTAAAAATAAGTTCACTTAAGCTAATAGAACTCCATCTTTTTTCAAAGGAAAGAATTAAAAATCTATTGCTCTTGATAAAATATAAGAAATCTGAAGATTACCAGAGGGACCCCGGGGTCTTACAAACTTAAAGTTGGGAATCACTGATATGTCTCTGATCCATGCTTGGGTGGCATTTGGGTCTCAGGTGGAGCAGCAGCTTCGAGAGAGGTCACTTGGGGGCCGGAAATACCCTCTTGCTCCTTTCAGTCATCTGCAAACATATGAAGGTCCTGGATTCAGCTTGGCTTCTCTTTAAATGTAATGGTGTGGGCTCCTTGGTGGGGCACTCGGTAAAGGCATGGGGGCCAGAGACCGTCTCTGGCCCCCGCCTGTTCTGAGGGAGCCAGAGAACTGGCATTCCCTGAGTCAGTAGTGGCATGGAAGATGACCTTGCCCCAAAGACTTCACCCTGGGGTCTGGGGGAACAGCGGCGGGAGAACATCACTAGGCAGTCTTAATGACGGACACAGCACAGACACTTGTGAACTGTGGTCCACGTAGCCCTTTCCATAGAGTCGGGTTCTCCTAAAAGCTTTGCCAGTTACTTCAATGTCCACATGCATCTGTAGCCTGCCCTCCAGCCCAGACCCACGAGAGCTCAAAACTTCTGACTGATGGCGCTCCCCTGCAGGCTAGGCTGGCAGGAAGGGAGGGAAAGACGGGGACCTGTGGCACGTACGGGGCCTTGATGATGTTCTGTTAATAATAGTGGTAAAGCAACAGGTGCCGTTTGCTGAGTGCTTCTCATAAAATAGGGTGGTTTAGTGGTTGATTTCTGTATAGTTTCCCAGTTATCTATCACGACTCTTCATTCTTGGAATGAGAAAGTTCCATGTTGCTATTAAACAGCCAACAGCAAACCATTGGCAAACAGGCGGTTAAGCCGGAGTTCAGTGAGAATCTAGGTTTCTGTCTACGAGGGTACAGTGCAGTTCACCGGCCACCCTTCTCTGTGTGAGGAAGAACTGAACCTAAGCATATTTTGAGACAAGATAGGCTCCTACTGCTTGCCTCTTACTTCCTCTGTCTTTCTGGAACTTTCTACGAGTAACGGCACTGGGTCACCCCTTCTGACAGCTCAGGTTCTGTAAAGTGCTCTTTTTCTGGAAAGTTTCTACTTGATTTGTGGAACCCTGTCTGCTCAACGACAATGGTGTCAGCTTTCTTTCATGAGCACAGGGAAGGGTGAAGTCTCTTTGCTAACATGTAAATGGCTAGTACCTTCTGGTAGTCTACCCAGAGGATTGATTTTCTTTTTCTTTTTTTCTTTTCAATTCTTTTTTGGTGAAAGAAGGGTGAGGTAAGGGTGGGGAGATGGAGTAGGGAGTGGAGAGGGTTGTTAAGGGATACCTAATGCCACAGCTGGCTTTCTAATCTTAAGTACTTGAAGGAAAATGTAGAATAAAACAAAAACCCAAAGCTGTGAGGGGAAGTTACAAAAAAGGCAGGCATGATTGTGCCTGCTCCCAGCCCCAAGCAGCGTCTGTATAACACAGCGGGTCTTTTGTCTCTTTCTGTACCTGAACTCGAAGTGACTCTTCAAAGTTTTATCCAGAGGAAGCAGGGCAGGAGTGTAGGTAGAGGTGGAAGTGGGTGTGTTTTATTATCCAGGGAGGCCTGCCAGTGGGGAGGCCTCTCTTAAAGCTGAGTTGCAGAAAGTTCATAGGTAATTGTGTCTACCAAAGCCATGCTGGCTCCCTCTCTGAGGGGACAGCACAGCGCCATGATAGTTACTGTCTTTCATCAAGTTGCTAGCTTGTCTCTGAACAGCCTTCTCCAATCTCATTTCATTATTTTCTCTTTTAGGCTCCAATTGACAATGGTTCAAAAATCACCAGCTACCTTTTAGAATGGGATGAGGTAAGCCTCTTTCCATATCTGTTCATCTAAAAACACCATTTCAAAGATCCTGGTCTTCCCTGAGAGGTGTCAAACACAGGAAATGCTACATCAATACACATAGTATACCCATAGACACAGTAGCTGCTGACTGTGGGAAAGCAGTTGGATTTAGGTGGCACAGTGAATTATGTGTTAAAATAAACTTACCTGCTTACATGGAAGCCATGCTACTGCAAACAGACAGGTTTATCTGCTCCGAATTCCCACCGCCTCCCCAGGCTAAGTTAATTTATATTCTCACTTGCTTGCTGTTTCATCTCCACTGCATAGATGGTCTGGATAAGGCAAAGCCTGGTAGCTTTTCTCTCTTGGAGTATGACATGGCGGCCTGCTTTGTGTTTGTCAGGGAGCATAGCAGCACGTGGCTGGGTCGCTGTGGGTTAAACCATCCTAGCACAGACACAGTGCCCATGATGGAGTGAGCCTGTCCTCAGTGCCGCTCCGCCAGCCAGAGGCCCAGGGCTTCTCTGGCCTCACTCACACACACTGCACCTAGATCCTCACAGAGGACATGCTGGGCATGGCCAGGTCATGCCTCTAGAAGGCTCCTGTGTTTTTTGTTTCTGTAGATCTCTGTTGCATTCATTCAGTCGTTGCTTTATTATCCCTTTTCATGGTTGGGAAAAGGGGTTAAGGACTGAAAAAAAATAGAGAGTGTAAAAAAATTGGGCACTAGTTCAAGTTATTTGATCTCTATGACTTAAATTTGACAAGATTAAAAACTTCAGAATGGGGGCTGGAGAGATGGCTCAGTGGTTAAGAGCACTGCCTGCCCTTCCAAAGGACCTGGGTTCAATTCCCAGCACCCACATGGCAACTCACAACTGTCTGTGCCTCCAGTTCCAAGGGATCTGACACCTTCACACTAATGCACACAAAATAAAAACATTAAAAAAAAAAAACTTCAGAATGTATGTATAAGCTGAAACATGACTTGTCAAATAAGGAAAACTTAAAAATGGAACACGTTACATGGATGACATAGTTGACAATGACCTTTTGAAGTGATTTTGCTTTTTGTGTAATGTATTTCCATTTGGGCTGCATCTCAACAGCTTTGAATAACCGACTTCAAAGTTGAATAAGTCAACTGCTGAAGTGGCTTTAGAATTAATTCTACGAATACCTCATAGGCACAGTTAGGTGAAATCTCTGGCTTTCCAGGGATTTCCATTGAAAAGTGGTTTGATTGGAAAACAGATCTAGTGAATGAGGATGAGTAGGAGTTTTTTAAACATCACTTAAGATCTCAGAGGTCATGTACCTGCATGTGTGTGTCTGCATCTGTGTGTGTGCGCGCGCGCGTACATGCGTGTGCGTGTATGCATGCATGTTCATGTGTATGTGCACCTGTGTGCCGGTAGAGTCTGGACATCAGCCTCAGGTACTGTTCCTCAGACATCATCCACCCTGCTTTTAGAGACAGGCTATCCTGCTGTCTTGGGCTCACCAAGTAGTGTGAACTGGCCGATCCTCAAAACCCAGGACCCCACCTGTCTCCCTCCCCAGTCCTGAGATTACAAGCACCCGGGTTTTTTTTTTTTTTATGTGAGTTCCGGTGATCAAACTCAGGTCTTCACGATTGCACAGGCAGCACTTGACCCACTGGGCCATCTCCTTAGCCCTCGTAGCTGACTTTTTGTCGTTTGTCTTCTTAGGTCCAGAAACTCAGAGACATTGAGCGCTTGAGTGGGATGTCTCCTAGGCAGGCCCCCTGTAGGAACCAGTGGTAGAAGGGCAGCTTCATGTAGGATTGATTTCGGAGGGTGTCGGTGTGATACCCACCACGGACTAGTCAACACAGAATACTCAGTAGTTAGCCGGGGCCCTTGTACATTCCCCCGTGTGGGCTCCTTCTGTCTTTTCCTCTCGTTTATAAATTTCTAGCAAAATAATCTGGTTGTTTTGTTTCTAAACGGGACCAAAGAATCAGCAGCTTCTCCGGGCAGCTCGCTTGAGTCTGTATGCCTACATTGCCAGGCCCTGGCTTCATGGAAGGAAGGCAGATATGCACAGAAGGCAACCAGCATCTGGGCTACGGAAAGTGAGAACACAGGAAGCCGGAGCTGCTGCTCTGAAACCTTCTCCTTCAGCTTCTAGAGCCAGAGCCCCTGGGGCAGGGCCTGTTTCTAGACTGTCCCAGTATAACCTGGTGGGCAGGAGCCTGGGAGGCCGCCCTTGTGCTGCAGCTGCTGCCATCACTGTTTCCTTCACAGAACTCTTTTTCTGAAGCAGAGAAAGGGTTTATTTAACCTCAAAATAGACAGCAGTTTTATAAAAGGTTTTTAAAGAAAAGGCTAGTTCTCCATCCACTTAGAAACCTTTAGGCTGAGAAGGCAGGGAGCAGGTTTGAATCCAAAGGCTCTCACTGCTCTGTTCCCTCACCTAGAGTCTCCTATAATCTGTTAGTCTACGGTCAGCTACTCTATGTGAGTTTAAACATGGAGTAATCATGTCAGCTCTCAGTAGATAAATGCAGGTAGCTAGCCTGGATCCATACTTCCCATCACCTCTCTACATCTTGTCTGCCTCAGCCACACACCCAGAACCTCTTGGCTGTCCAAGGGCTGCAGAAATAAACCTGGATTCAGGAAAATTGTGAGGTATGTGGAGGAACAGATCATTGCCCTTGAACAAGACAGATGAAAAATATTTTTTAAAAAAAGGAAGGGGAGAGAGAAAGGAGAGAACACCAAGGTAGTGGGGAGTAGAGTTACTCTCGGCTGAGCCTGATGGTGTGTATTCAATCCCTGGATCCCACCAGTGGAAGGAGAGAACTGACCCCTTCAGCTTGTCCTCTGCCTTCCACGTGCATGCCTTGTATGCGTGCACACACCAGAGCAGCAGCAAAGATAGAAACACATCTCAAAGAAGGCTGTGCTGAGGAAGAGTGCCCCCCCCACCTCCCCCTGGGCTGAGGGTGATAACTTTGAGGGCAGGTTGTAGCCATGTTTCTGAGTGTCCTCTGGAGCCCTGGGCTCCAGTACATGGTGCAGCAGCAGTGGTCCCTTCTCTAGAAAACCCAGTTCATAATCTCCACTCCAGTAAGGTGATGAATTTTGAAAGTATTGGTAAATTTCGAGTGCAGGGCCTGCTTTCAAGCCTCTTCCTGAAAGAAAGCCAGGCTTTGGCCTTGCTGGGTCCACAGTGCTGGGGAAGGCTCCAGGGAGGAACAGAAGCAGAACAGAGCCGCCGACAGAAAGCTCTCCTTCCTGCCGGTGGCCATTACCTTCTCACTGTATATGGTTGACTTGGAAGTTACTTACGGGGCTTCCATAAAAGACTGAGTTGCTTTTCTGCCCTGGTAACTAACCTGATAACCCCTTGATTTTTAAACCCATGTGCAATAATAACCAACTATGCAATGGGAATGAGCTTCTAAGAATGGAATCCTTGTCTGCTCAGCTCTCAGATCAGTTTCTCACTTGATACAGGCAGGATTGATTTCTTTACATGAAGTTGTGGCTTTTCCTGACCAAACAAGGGTCCCTGCCACTGTGGCTCATGTGACCTCTGCAGTTTGACAGACAAATGTCTGGCCAGACAGTCTCCCTCAGGGGACTGTCTGTCAGGAGCTTGATGGCAGAAGGTCATTTTCAGGGCAGGTTTCTACTGGATGGTTGGCAGCGAGCTCCAAGACCTGCCTATTTTTTCCCCTCTCACCTCTTCCCAGAGCAGCACCTCGGATTTTCACATGTTTTGGGGGATCCTAACTCAGGACTTATGCTTGTGTGGAAGGCACCTCACCTGCTGAACCATCTCCCCAGGCCCCTCAGCATTTTTATTAAACAACAGGCCAAGCGATGTTCGGGCACGGTTGTCTCAGCACAAGGCTTCCTTTGCACAAGGAGTCAGTGGGTCAGGGAAGTAGTATGAGGTCCTCTGTTCGTAAGGCCTCCCTGGGTAAATCACTTTAATTTGTGAGATCCCATGCCCATCTTCCTTGGGCTCCTTGCTGTTGCTTCCAGCTTAAAGATCTCTCAGCATCCTGTGGCAGAGGTAGGAAGGAGTTCTCTAGAATTGGTCCAGGGCAGATTGACGTACCCACGTTAGTTCTTTGGCTAGCTACTAGTACATTTATCTACAAATAGCTGACATGATTACCCCATAAGTTAAACCCATGTAGAGTAACTGACTATAGACGAAGAGATTATATTATATTAGATTATAGGAGTCTCTAGGTAAGGGAACACAGCAGTAAGAGCCTTTGGATTCAAACCTGGTGCCTGCCTTCTCAGCATACAGGTATCTAAATGGATGGAGAACTAGCCTTTGCTTTAAAAAACCTTTTTAAAAATATTATATAGTTTTTGGTTAAATAAAGCCTTTTTCTACTTTAGAAAAAAGAGTTCTGTAAAGGAAACATTGATGGAAACTTAGCCTCTAAGTTACACTTGTAGATACTGTCCATGCGCTAGCGACAGGAGCAGCTGCTGATCTCACTGTGTTTGCCAAGGAGAAGGTGCTGACCTGGACTGGAATGTTTATGGTCCGTGCCATTGGATTGTGGGTCATGGTACTTCGCAATCAGTTGTATACCTGAGCCTCAGTGTCTGCACTGGAAAGATAATGTCTGTTATCTCAAAGCACTGGTACATTACAATTGGACAAGGTGACTTAGCAAGAGCAAGTTCAGTCTCTTGACCCCTCCATGGTAATGGAGGTTCTTTGCTGATGTTGGGATCCAAGAAAGAAAGCCAGTGGTGAGAAAGACTGCAAGATAATAGGCCATCTTTTACAAGAGTCTCAACAGGATTCCTGCTGCCAGGCCATACGTGGATAGATGCTCAAATGCTGTTTGCATAGCTTCTGCCTGGGGCATGTGGGCACTGAATGGGAGAACAGAAAAACAGTTCTGCCAGTTGCGACGATTGAAGTTCACATGAATCTTCCTCACATGTGACTCAGCTGGCCAAGTAAAGAAGGTCACATCTGGGATCCCAGTGACTAAAGAGCCC